TTCAATTTATAAACTACCATATCCAATTCGGTTAACCAGAATTTTCACCCCTAAATCTTATACTTCTTAACAATCAAGCATGATAATATCAATAATACAAGATGACATTAGGAATAATTAAAGACCCTCAACCAAAGAGTTCCAAAATGTGTTTATTTTGGTCACTTAGTCTGAAATCTCAATACATGTCCGTTTAACATAATTCTCAAATACTAATATGATTCAAGTTTTTAATATCTTTAATATTTGAAATTTTGTTATAATATCAAAAAATGATTTTCATATTAATAATTACATAAAACTATGAAAATAAATTTAAATCATTTTCTAATTTTACACTTTCTTGGAGATTGTATTGGAATAATGTTTTCAAAAACAAAAACAAAAAAACTATATTTAAATTATATATTAAATATGCCCTTTTTTTCTTCTTTACTGAGTTAACATTATACATATATATATATACACACACAAGAAATATAGAATAATTTTATGAAAACACGTTTAATAAAAAATGAGTCAAAATGTTTTTAGAAATAGTTCTCTGATACAATTCTAAAAACCATAGTAATTACCAGAAAAAAACTAAAAGTCGTTTTTATAATTAGAAAACAACTAAAAGTCGATGTTATAATTTTTTACAGCTTTTAATCTGAAAACAAATTTTGATATTATATCAAACCTATTTCAAATATAATATCGTATTTTAGATTCCAGAAATTATTTTTAGAACATAAATCAAACATACCAGATTTCATCACTTTTTCTAGAATCTAAAAAAGTTTAAAATATTCATAAACTAAATTACCCTAAATGCATTTATTCATAAATAAACATAAATTTTATATGATATTATTGAATAAAGCTTGCAATTTATTAATTTTTAAAAAAATTATAAAAAAATTATAGTTTGATTATCATCACAGTTGCTGGTTGCTGGAAATAGGCTATCGAAATCCGATGACCGAAAAATTATCCTATGTATTTTGATAACAATATTAATATCACAATGATCATCTTTAATCGTTATATCTCACCAAATAATAATTCTTTATTAATAAATATGGATAACAATTATGCACCCAATCCTGAAGCTGACAAGCCACAATCCAAAGATAACAGCGATGCACTTATGCTTGAAGCTTACAAGTCACAATCCAAAGATAATGACTATGCTCCCAAACCAGAAGGTAAGGGTTTTGGCCGTAAATTGGACGTTTTTAAAATCAAAATCAATTAAATATCATGGCCATGACACAAAATCAGACTGCAATAAATCGAAAGAGAAAGAGAAAGACAAGTAAAATTGTTATTAAAATTATTCTTTTCACAAGCCACAACACAAAGATAACGACTATGCACTAGAGCCTAAAGCTTATAAGCCACAATCTGAAGAAAATGATTTTGAACCCAAGTTGGAAGCTTACAAGCCACAACCTGAAGACAATAACTATGCACCCAAGTTTGAAGCTTACAAGCCACAACCCGAAGACAACGCCTATGCATCCAAGCCTGAAGCTTACAAGCCACAACCTAAAAACAATAACTATGCACCCAAATGTGATACAACCAAGAATCCAAAGGCAGTAACTATGCACCCAATTCTGAAGCTTACAAGCCACAACCCGAAGAAAATAACAATGCACCCAAGTCTGAAGTTTACAAGCCACAACTCGAAGACAATGTGTATGCACCCAAACTTGAAGCTTACAAGCCACAATCCGAAGACAACGCTTATGCACCCAAGCCTGAAGCTGACAAGCCACAATCCGAATACAACGCTTATGCACCCAACCCTGAAGCTGACAAGCCACAATCCGAAGACAACACTTATGCACCCAAGCCTGAATCTGATAAGCCATAGCCTGAAGATAATGGCTATGCACCCAAGTGAAAAGCTTTTACGAGTCACAACCTGAAAATAACAGCTTTTACTGAATCATCGTTATCAACCTCGGGCGCTGAAAGTGCTTCTGCATCATCAATGAAAGCATCAACATAAAAACTACTGAGTGCGTCGAAGTTCAACTTCCCGTTCTGGACATTATTCAACCATTTTTCTTGGAGATCCTCAGAGATAATGACCTTTTCCCTGAGCAAATTTATAAATTTCTTGACTCCTTCTATGTCTTCTACTCCATTGTTTAAGAATGTCCAAGAGCTCGCCAAGTGTTCCTTACTTGGCTTCCACTTGTTTCGACAAACCACCAACACTTCCTTCATCGCCTCCACCGCCTCTAGAGTTTGATTATTCTTAAGATATCCTGTTGCCATATAAAACCATGTCTTGCCATCCAGCTTCCCCCCCTTCAATTTTTCCTTGCTTATAAGAGATTCAGCCTTCTGCAAAAGGCCTTTTCTACAGTAACAACAAATCAAGAACTTTGGAATCCGGAAATCATAGATTGAACTCTGCGATTCCCATTCCTCAAAAATCTTCTCTCCAGGTCATCAAATTTTAGCAGAGATTTTATGACCGATATATAGCCTCTATTGTAAACAATAACATTCTTTTTGTAGATTTCCCAAAGTCTTAAAACTTCATCTTTCTGCCTAGTTGTTGCATACTGTCTTATAAGAATTTCGTATGCTTTAGCAGCTTCAAAGCGGCTTTTACCTGATATTAGTCCCTCAGATTTCTTCAGCATTTGCAAAGACTTGTCCAAGAACCCAGCTTTTGCATGCCCACTAGCTGCAGCCTGCAGTAGCATAAAATTCCCAGTCTAAGAGAACAGTGGGATAGGATTCCATCAAGTTTACAATCTTGTCAATTCCCTCAACATCAGAAGTAGCTGCATAGGCATTTAGACGGATGCAAAATGTCATTTTGTTATAACCGAAGCCTTTTTCTTCCATTTCACGAATGAGACTGTCAAATTTCTCGTAATTTCCAGTCTTATAATAAAGATTAAGCATAGAATTGTAAATCAGTGGTACTCCGGCAAACAATCCCAAATCACTTATTTCCTGCATGGTGGCCTCTGCTTTTTCCACAAATTTTGCATTGGCATAGCAGTTGATAAGAGCAGAATAAACAGGAAGGCTCCTTGATTGTTTTGGAACATTATTGAAATAGTTTTCTGCTCGTTCTACCCCATGAACTTTAGAGATCAAATCCAACCGAATGGCAACATCACCGGCTGTAAGTTGAAGGTATCCTTTGTCAGTCATCCACATAGATATCTGGTGTAGAGAGGCAAAGAGATATCTTAGCGAGACACCAAAACAATGAACTGACTAAAATGAAGTAATCATATAAAGGCTAAGCATCTTTACAAATAACTTCAAATCAACATCACAACTACAACTCCAGGTACAAATTATCTATGGTAGGTCAAAATTTTATGATCCCTTAAACTCTAAACACAGAATATTAAAATGTGATTATATCACTCTATTCGAGAAAATTCAGGGTGAAATCAATCAATTCCTTGATAAAATATGGAGGACCAAGAGCAACAAAAAGCTCATGAACCAATTGCAACTCTAAAATTACAAGTTAGACACGGAGCAAAAAGATATAATAATCAACTGAACCTAATGCAAGTTCCAATAATAAGAATTGCACTAATAAGCCTAGAAGTGAAAGATTAAGTGATCTGCGTTCCAAAAACTCGAAGAAGTTTAATAAAAAGCCCATTCCAATCCCTTTTCTTTTTCTTAAAAGAATCTATATATTATTTATTGCATCACCTGTCATAAGCGGACACAAAATTTTAACCCACATCATCAGAATTTGTTCAGGAAATATCTTATTTTTCTAATAGGAAAAATACGAATTTGACAGAAAACAAAATGCATAAAACTTTTCTCAAAACGCAAGACTAATGGAGTGTAAGCATGATCTTATTAATGCCAAATCAACATATTAAAAATATTTTGAGCCATCATCTTCCACCACACCCAGACAATGCCACGTTTTCAAACGGAATCAAAATTTTCTTCACAGCTCCAATTTAAAAATAGTTACTGACAAACGAAATTAACAAAACTAAGCTACCAAACCCACTCATTCACTTCCCTCGAGGCCCATTAAACAAATTATGTCTAGAAAATAAACACTTCTAAGAAAGTGAATCAAATTATGTCTCTAAATTCAAATTTTGCTATGACTTTTAAAAATAAGTACAACAAGGCGCGAAATAATTCCTAAGAATAAAAATTAATTAATTTAAAATATAATTAATTTGTTAATACCTGGAGAGCGTGAGTGAATCATCTTAAGGATCGCAACTCTTTGATGAAGAGTTGGAGCTGTTCTTTCTCTACGGTTCATCCTTCTTGGACCCATTGATCGAGCAGGGGAACAACGGAGACCGTTGGATCTCCCAGCGGCGTGATACGACGGAACAGATCGCGCATTGAGTTTGGATACGGGTTCCAGCTTCTCCATTCTGTTGTGAGATTCCGTGCTGCGGTTGAGTATGAGGAAATTCTCGAAAAATTCCCAAGAAGGAGCTGAAGTTTGATGCTTTCAAGGATTGTACGCGAGCTTACAAGCTTCATTTGCAGGAAAAATAACAGAGAGGGAAAGAAATAAGAAAATTTTGCTCCCCGGCCATCCCAAATTTCCATTTAACAAAATGGCCATGAAAATCTTTTTTTTTTTTTTTTTTTTGGGTTAAAAAATATGACGTGGCACACTTATGTAATTAAAGCAGTAAAAAGGATTAGGATGAAAAGATTTAAACATTTGTGGGTTACAGTATGATAAAGAGAAATTGATTTAAAATTTGAAAGGCAAAACACGTTTCTCTCAACTTCTCTTTCTCACAGCAGGATTCAAACACCTTTCTCTCTCTCATTTTTTCTTCCAGTTTTTTGCAATTTCTCAATTTCTTTGCTCTTTGCATTTTTGTCATTCCTTGCCATTCCTGATTAAGTTATAATGGCTGAGATCCTTAAAGAAACAGAAAAAAAACCCATCTGCTCCCCAAATTGTAGGCACCACTAGGTCTACCAAAAATGGAGAAGAAGAAGTTGCGGTGGAGTAACTTTCGATGACTGAAATTGCTCCACCAGGAGCAGAGACGGCATCGACGGGAGACATTCTATTGGCGGAACAAGGGAAGGCAAGAGTTGAAATTGAAACTGAAGAGGAGGATGCCGACGCAAATTCCAAGCATCGGACATACCAAGAGTAAAAGCAAAGGATTGCTTAAGCGATCTGGTATAAGCGATTTTAGATCGCTTAAGCGATCGTACATCTGGGCAGAAGTTGATTCTCCCTCGGACATGATCGCTTAAGTGATTATAAATCGCTTAAAGCGACCAACGTTAAAAGCAAAGGATAGCTTAAGCAATCATGCGTCTGGGCACTTATTTATTGTCTTGTTCATGATCGCTTAAGAGATTGTAGATTGCTTAAGTGACCAACAGTAAAAGCGAAGAATCGCTTAAGCGATACACTTAATCGCTTAAGCGATTGTGCATCTAGGCAGAGTTTATTCTACCTCGGACATGATCGCTTAAGCGATTTGTAATTGCTTAATCAACCAAGGTTAAAAGCAAAGTATCGCTTAAGCGATCATGCGTTTGGGCACTTATTGATTCTGTCTTGTTCGTGATCGCTTAAGCGACCAAGTGTAAAATCATAGAATCGCTTAAACGATAATATAAATACAACCAGATCTCTTAAGCAACTAAGTCTGAATACACAGGATCGCTTAAGCGAGAAATGAAATCTCTTAAGCAATCCAGTGTATTTGGATTATTTTTATTGTATTTCACTAGATTGGTTAAGCGATTAACGCTATCTTAGACATATAAGATGTACGATTCATTCAGTGGATGACAGGCTATTCACAAGTGTACGAAATCGTGCAAGTAATAAAACTCGAGTAAACGAGTGTCGAATCCTAAGGGAACTACCTACCAAGTACCAAACTATTATATTCTATTGCTATTTGATAAAACTGAATTTTAAGAGAAGCCTTAATGACAAGTAGCAAACTAAAGACTAAGTACTAAATGAAAGCAGAATTTGTAAACACTTTGAAGTAAAGATCAATATGACTAAACCTAAGGCATAGATTTCACACCAATTTAATCATATGCATTGACAATTATTACTAACCTAATCAAGCTTATTCTAAAGGCCAAACTCCCTATTATTCCACTAACTCTCTCTCTCTCTCTCTCTCTCTCTCTCTCTCTCGCAATTAGCAAATTAACCCTTAAGCAACAACCCAAGATATCTCTAAGTTGGATTTAGGAGCTAAGAGATCATTAAGCTCTATAAAATTTACTGGAGCCTCACAGATCGCGGTAACCTATCTCTAGCGTTCGCTCAATCTATGGTTCTATTACCTAAGACAAATCAGGTTTCATCTCTCGATCTCAACTTAATCCATGATATCATTTAACTCTCGGGCCCTGAGAATTGAAAGCATTACACACGATAATAAAACTTAGAAATCATGCTCAATATAGAATCAAAATAATAATGTCAACACATGTTCATAAATTGGACTATATCTTTAGCCCTAGAAAAGAGAATTAGTTCATAATTACAGTAATGAAAACAACCATTAAATTCAATAACATGAGTTCAAGAATGGAAAATAGAAACTTCTCTAATTTGTGAATGAGAATCACAAGAATTCTGATCTCCAAAGTAGTGGCCTTCTTTTCTCCTTCTTCCAATCCCCCATAAAACTAATTAAAAATCCTAAGTTATAGTCTAGGGTTTTCAGGTTACTTAGGAAAAGAATTAAAATCCCTAACCCACTCAAATTTGGATTAGGAGAGTGCAATAACCCAAACAGGCCCGAGACCCATCGCTGCGGCGATGAGAAACGATCACTGCAGTGATCATTCTTTCTGTCCCCAGAGTCCGTGAACTTTAGAATTTGGTAAAGTCAACAACACAAACTTTGTAGCTCTTTAAATAAGCTTTCCAACGCCACTAGAATCGTCAAATTCCGATTACCACAGCTCAAGTTATGATCAAAACATCGAAGCATGCTCATCTTAAAGGATTTCCAGATTTTACGTTGTAGTTTCGACGTGTCACAACTTTCTCGTTTCAACTCCGATTCTTACACCGTTTGTTCCTACTCGTCACGAATTCCATCGACATCATTCTTTTTCCTTCAAATATCGGTTTGAACCTGAAAACACTCAAAATACACCCGTGATCCCGTAAAAGGTATTTATGAAATAATAAATTCAAATTCCAACAATTAAACACCTTTTTCCACAAATAATCCAATTAAAACACTAATAAAATGTATACTTTCAAGCTCTTATCAGTGGACCATGGCCATTATTATATTTTAATTAAATTAGTTCTTTTATGGCTATATTAAGCATATATGGTATAGAATATTTACATCTATATTAAACATATAAGATGTACGATTCATTTAGTGGACCATGACTGTTATTATATTTTAATTAAATTAGTTCTTTTATGGCTATATTAAATATATATGATATAGAATGTTTACGTTTATATTAAACATATCAGGTGTACGATTCGTTCAGTGGACCATGACCGTTATTATATTTTAATTAAATTAGTTCTTTTACGTCTATATTAAACATATGTCTATAAACATGGAAAAAAAAAATATTGAAGTAAATTACCCTTAATCGCTTAAGCGATCCCGTCTATTTAGCCTTGGTCTACAGAGTGCATAGCAGACGGTTGGAGAGTTCAATTTTATATCAATATTATATTTTTTTATATTACTTTCTTGCCAAGAACGAACAAAAATAATAGAATAACAATACATTTTTCAATTTTATGTATGGTGCTGATTGACAAAGATCGAAGTGTTCTTTTCACATTCTATTGAAATGAAAAAAAATAATTAATAATAATTAATAATTAATAAAAAATGACTAAATATTAAATAAACATTATGGAATATAATTTTTCACTAAAGTATATTGCTTATTGCATTGCTTAAGCAATCCAGTATATCGCTTAAGCGATCTAAAGTGATCTAGTACAAATAAGCATGATCGCTTAAGCGATCTCCTGCCATATATTAGACTTATACCAGATCGCTTAAGCGATCTGGTACCATATACCAGACTTATACCAGATCGCTTAAGCGATATTCTGTCATATACCAGATCGCTTAAGCGATCCATCAGATCCAAAACACATTTTCAGCCATCTCCACCTACAATCGGTGCTATCACCCCTAGCTACTTACAATGCAAGAAAATATTCAACAAATTTCACTCCTTTCAACTTGCATTACATCAAACACAATCCAACAACCTAAACAACTAAATCAAAATCATAACCCAAACCCCATCTATTATTAAATCTTTGTAAATCTAAATATAAAATGTAAAGAGGAGATACACATACTTAGATGAAATTTCCTTGTACGTCGATCTGTGTAGAGTTACTGCATATTTTGTATTTTAATTTTTGTTTGTGAGATTAACATTGTTTACACTTATATTGTTGTTTGGTTGAGCTTTCCCTGTACGTCGATCTGTGTAGAGTTGTTTTCGTTGAGTGTGTTTGTGTTGGGTTCCTCTGGTTGATGGGTTTTGCAAGTGGGGTTTACTTAAATGTATAAGGGATGTATACTAGTTTATTGTCTTGGCCTGCTAAAGAAGATCTAGATAGTTCTAAGTCAAACTAGTTTGTAGTTAGTATAGCATAATATACTTTGATACAATGGCAATCTGTGAAATAGTTTAAGCTTCAATAAGTAATACTATCTATAACTGGCAGTTTGTTTACTACCAAAAGCAACACATAAATACATATATACCGAACATCATAAATACATTTATTTTATGTGTGCCTTACTGTGTCCTGTTGAACTTCATCTGAGAAATCATGGACCTGTTTACTGTATTCTTTTGCATGATACATTTGTTTTGAACATTCTGCAGGAATTTAAGTTTGAGGAGTTTAAGGAGGTCAAGCAATGCTATCCTCATGGATTTCATGGAGTTGATAAATTTGGTAGACCAATATACATTGAACAGATTGGGATGGTAGATCTAAATGCCTTGCTTCAAGTAACCACAATTGAAAGATTTGTTAAGTATCATGTGTCTGAAAAAGAGAAAACATTGAATTTGAGATATCCTGCATGTTCAATTGCAGCCAAGAGGCATATAGCATCAACCACAATTATATTAGATGTGAAGGAAGTGGTGAGTTTCAATTTACATCTTTTTCATCTTTCAAACTCTTTTCATGGAGAATCATGTTGTTTTTATTCGTTTCATTCAAAAATAATCAGTAGGCTTGTAGCAAAGATAATAGTGCGGTTTCACTTATAGCATTTCTTTTACACTATGCCTTGTGGAACTGAATTCATTCCTAGAGAACGAAATATATCCATAATCACACACCCTATACAACTATATGCACTGTGTCTGTTACCACAAATAATTCCTGAGAATTGCCCCTTGGGCTCCAACTTTAGATTTATGAAAAATATGCCTTCTAGGGTCTGAAGTTGTGACGAATGACTTATCATCACATTACTCAACTCCAAGTTAAGATTGATCCATCAGCTTGAAATCTGTATTTTTAAATCTAGGAGCAGAGATGTGATTCTTTAAGTTCTTTGGCTTATTTTCTAGTGGTGATTCAAGGCTTCAAGCTAAAAGTATCTGTTTACCTCCTCTCTAAAGACTTGATAGTAGAAGTGCTGAAGTGCTTCATTTGTCTTTAGTTTTGATTGATTCATGCTCTGTAAGACTATATTGGTTCATAGAGTAAATTAGCTATAAATTTATTTTATATAGAACTTCTTTTTGTAGTAAATTATAGATTTAAGTACTATCTTGACCTAGGGAATGTCTAATTTCTCAAAGCCTGCAAAACAGCTCTTTATGGAAATTCAAATGATTGATAGCAATTATTACCCAGAGGTAAGTGAATGTCATCTCTTTCACTTCGAATAATCTATGATCAAGTAGATGATTAAATGGTTCATTTGTGAGTCAGAACCAAGGGTTCAAGGAAAGAAGTGGCTGTTGATTAACCAATAGCTGTCGGGGCAGAGCAGGATTGATGCTTCTCATGCACGATAATTAGGACAGTGAGTTTCATTATTCTTGGTCAATTTATACATCAACCTTAAAAGGTCTTTTAGCTCATTTGCATAAGGGGGCAGTGTTGCTTTTGGTAGTAAACAAACTGCCAGTTATAGATAGTATTACTTATTGAAGCTTAAACTATTTCACAGATTGCCATTGTATCAGAGTATATTATGCTATACTAACTACAAACTAGTTTGACTTAGAACTAGCTAGATCTTCTTTAACAGGCTAAGACAATATCGAAGCTCACTTCGACCAAAATATGCAGAATCTTTGATATGCACTCGAACTTGGCTATATGGATATGAGTTTGAAGGTAACATGTTAACATAATATTTCATATATTTTATTATTTACATTTATTATTTGTAGTTGATCATTGTTTTGTAGATGATGAGGTGAATGATGATTTAGATGATGATTTTGATATGCCATTAACTAATCTCGAGACTGTAGAATCAAAAGACTCTATCACGCCCACTGTGGGATGAACATTTGCTATCCTAAGAATGTTTTTTGGTTGAATATTAGATTATGTATTTGTTTATTTTGGTTGGTATTTTTAGTTTTGTATTATACGTTATTGTTTGTTTATGTGTTATTTGTTTATATTCTAAATTGAACTGAATTTAGAGTAGTTGATTTAGGGGGTGTAAATGTAAAAAATTAAAACTACAGGAATTTTGGGGGTGTAAATATCATAATTGAAAACTGTTAGGGGTGAAATAAAACTAAAATCTGGAAAGAGAAAAAACAGGTCCACTCGTGGGTCCACCCGTGGGTCCACCCATACCCTTATAGGGTAGGGCACGGGTCCAATATTTTGGATCCGTATATCTCGACCCGTATAAGGGCCCGTACCTGTTTGACCCGGCTCATATCCAGCCCGTACCCGGCCCACCCACCCGATTTGCCAGGTCTAATCAAGAGTGAAGACAATAGAAGGGTTTAAGCCTTAAGGGTTTTTGGGGTTTTTCACTTTTTTTTTTAAGTTATTTTAATTTTATTTTTACGAATAATTACAGTAAAGCCATAGGTTTAATCTAATTGTTGGGGAACACTGCTAGTTTCAAAAAAGGATGTTAGCCCCTTTTCTTTAATTTAGTTGACATTTGCTATAATTATAGGAGTTATATAAAGTTTAGGCTCTTTAAAGGATCATATCGTGTAAAGGGCTGCAATCGTTTGATGAAGTCTTGGAGCTGTAATTTGTCTACAGATCATCCTTCTTGGACCCACTAATTCAACATCGGAAAAGGCGAGATCTGATGGAACAGAGCAATCATTGAGTTTTAAATTCGACGTCTCCACTTCGGTCTTAGGTTTCCAATAGCTATCGTGTATGAAGATATACTCGAAACATTTCGATGACAGAGTGAGAGCTAATGTTTTCAATAATTGCATGCAAGCGTACAACGGTAAAAGCTTCATATGCTCTAACAATTTTGGGGAATCGGAGAGCGAAATGTGAAGGTGAAGTTGAAGAGGATGTTGCTCACGTAGGGTTTAAGGGTTTTGGCTCTTTATGGGTTTTAAGTTCGTGATTGTTTTATAAAATGTTTGAAAAGTCCTCGGTAGTTTAGGAATTGCTATGCACGCCCCTAATATTTTATTGCGGGAGGATACTTACAATGTGTATATTTTGGTCACTTAATTTGATATCTCAATACATGTCCGTTTGATTTGTGATTAAACATAATTTGCAAAAACCAATATGGTTCAAGTTTTTGAGTTGTATTTTTTATCTTTGAAAATGTGTTATAATATCCAAAAAAATGTTTTCAGATTAATAACTTCAAAAAACTATGATAACGAATTTAAATCGTTTTCTAATTTTACACTATTTTTTAAGATTGTATTAAGAAAATGTTTTTAGAAACAATTCAATTCATTTTTATCAAATGCATTTTCATAAGATTTGTTGTATCCTTTGTTTTCAAAAACAAAAAACTGTATTTAAATTATATATCAAATATACCCTTTTTTTTTTCTATAGTGAGTTACTACTTATTTTAAGTTATAATATATTTTGACAAAAGTTTGTTAGATCTAGGATTTATATTCATTATTTTTATACATATTAAAACAAGAAATATAGAACAATTTTATGAAAATACGTTTGGTAAAAATAAGTCGAAATGTTTTCTAAAATAGTTTTCTGATACAATCCTAAAAACTATTGTAATTATTAGAAAACGGCCAAAAGTTGTTTCCATGATATTCTATAATTTTTAATCTGAATTTTTTTTAATATTATATCAAACCATAAAAAATTGGAGAAAATAAAATTTCAAATTTTGCTATGAATTTTAAATATAAGTATAACAAGGCACGAAATAATTCCTAAAAATAAAAATTAAATAATTTAAAATTTAATTAAGCTGTTAACACCTCTAATGTTCTTTGATGAATCGTCTGAAGGATCGCAACTCTTTGATGAAGGGTTGGATTTGTTCTTTCTCTACTGTTCGTCCCCCTTGGACCCATTGATCGAGTAAGGGAACAATGGAGACCGTTGGATCTCCCAGCGGCGTGATACGTCAGAACAGACTGAGCATTGAGTTTGAGTATGGGTTCAAGCTTCTCCATTCTGCTATGAGGTTTCGTGTTGCGGTTGAGTATGAGGAAATTCTCGAATCATTTCCAAGATGGAGCTGAAATTTGATGCTTTAAAGGATTATACACGAGCTTACAAGCTTCATTTGCAGGAAAAAAATACAAAGAAAGAGAAAGAAATGAAGAGCTCAATAGTGAAGACAATGGAAGCGCTTAAGGGTTTTGGGTTTTTTTTGTTTTTGTTTTTGTTTTTAGGAATAATTACAGTAAAGCCTATAGGTTTAATCTAATTGTTGAGGAAAACTGCTAGTTTCAAAAGTAGGATGTTACCCCCTTTTCTTTAATTTAGTTTATATTTTCTACATTTACAAGAGTTATATAAAATTTAGGCTCTTTAGTTGTCTAAAATAACAAAATATTTTAGGTGTCAAAAGAATGAGTTAACTAGTTTTTCCCATCCAAATAATAGCTTAATGACACTTTACCACCAATAGACTTTTAAAATACTATTTTACTATCCAAATTTATATTCTGACAATAAATAGAAGGCAAACTCGGTCTAGGCTATTGAAGCTTTTGAACAGGGGAGACCAATAAATCTTTTGGTGGTAGAATGTTGGATTTTGGTAGATGAGATTGATCGAAATTTGAATTGGGAAGGACGGCTGCACAAACCCTAATTGCTTGATTGCTAGCGATTAGTGGGGTTAGAGGGAGTAGGGTTTGAGGAGTTTTGGTAAGTGATGATTGGGAAAGAGAATGGTAGTGAGGGGTCGTGACGATACCAGAATCGAAAACAGAAAATAAATTCGGTTAATAAAATAGTATTTAAAAAATATGTGGGTTGGAAAGCGCCGCTAAACCATTATTTTGGTGGAAAAAAAGCCGTTTACTCTAAAAGAATCATTAAGAGGGCAAAATTCTCCTACTGCTTTGTTATTCTCAACCCCAATTTTCTCAACCATTTTGTCCTCATCAGCATTGTCTCCAAAATACAAACCTGCACCAAATCCTTCATCTTTATCCTCCATTTCCCTTGTAAACATCCTCTCCCTTTTCCTCTCTCTCTTATTTGGCCCCATACTCGCCTTAGCCTCGCTTTGGTGCTACTAATCCCTTCTCTTTCACCTCCACCACCTTGCGATAAAACCCTCAATGCCTGTTTAATAGCCTCTTCCCCGTTCAACATGGGTCGGGCAGGTTCCGGTTCAGATTGGGCACTATTGCGCCTGGTTCAGGCCTGGCCGAATTTGCCTATGTTCTTCCTCCACTTTTTGGAGGTGGCGTCGGCGAAGGTTGTAAACATGGCTTTCCATGCCCCACCCTGGGACGTTGGGTTCAATCGGCTGAGTCGACTCAGTGGACGACTCTGTCCTAGTGTTTAATCTTAACGGTTTGCGAGAGTCTGTGGTTTGACTAGATTCAGACCCGGGAGTCACATGGCCTCAGCCGCGTCCGACACTACTTGATTTAACGGTGGAGAGGAAAGAGGAAAAAGAAGAGAGCTTTATGGAGGGAGGAGGGGCTGGGGGCCTTCGGCCTTGGTTTTCACTCGGTTTTTGACTCGGCTATAGGTTGATCTGTGACTTTTATCAGACCAAAATGGTCAAATGACGAGGAATCAAAGACGACTCCCCTCGGTGCCTGCACCACCAGAGCAATAGGAAGAAGCCAATTGGAGTGAAAAAAGGGTGTGTGTTGGTTAGATTACTGAATTCTCCAGTAGTTTCTAAAAGAGTAAACGACATATTCCCACCGAAGGTTTGACGAAATCCCAAGTTAGTACCATTTGTTTCATTTATTCCAGATTTCCACCCTTAAAGTAACAGTGTTATGAATTTTTAGGGTTTAGAGGGTGCAATTACCATAATGCCATTAACCCTAAATTAATAAATTATGTTTTAACCCTTAAATTAGTAGAATTACAAAACTTACCATTTTATTTTCAAATTATATCAAAAACACCCTCGGTCACTATACACCTCGCCGGAACCAGCCCAATCTAGGCTGTTTCCATGACGTTGAACCCCCTGGTCACCTCCATCACCTTCCTCGTAGTTCGTCGTCCAAAACCCCTCTGGTTCCTGACTCATTTGCCCCTCCAATCGTCGGCACCGTTGGGCTTAGGGTTTTAGTGTTCTTCACCAGATTCTGGTCGATTCCGACGGTGAAAATCCAATTGGACACCACCAATGCAACCACCATCCCCAAATCTATAAAACCCCTATGTCCCCAGCAACCGTTTCGTCATCATTCGTCGGCCAAGAGTTCGTGTTCATCGGCCGTTTTTCGTTGCCGTGGCCGGAGATCGGCGAGTGATGAGGGGTTGTGAATGGTATGGTTTTGTAGAGGGGAGGATAGGGGTTCAAATGGTGGTGACAAGGGTGATTTTGGGTGGAAGAATCGTCGGAAAAGAGCGAAAAACGTCGAGAACGACGACTGCTAATGTGCGCCGGAGGACTGTTAGAGGCGGTGGTCTGCTAACGTGCGCCACCCATGTAAAATGACCAATTTACCCCTTTACCATTACATCAAACGTTTTTCCGTCATTTTAAGGGTAGGAATCTAGAATAAATGGAACCAATGGTACAAACTTGGGATTTCGTCAAACCTTGGGTGGGAATAT